GTCGTCCCCCAGCTCGTTGCGCGGCCATGGTTCAGCCGCCGGTGCTGCCGAGGGCAGCCCTTCCGTCTCGATACTTGCCATGTTCGTCTCCGTCTAGCGGCCCATCGGGGCCTGAAAGGTGTTCGTGCCGTCGATTGGCACAATCAATCGCCCGGGTATGCCCGAACGGAAGGCGTCATCACCGGTGTGTTGCTTGTTCTCCGCGCCCGTCATGAACGTGGTTTCTCGCCAAGAGCCTTGAGCCTGTCGGCTTCCTCTTTCTGGGCGCGCTTCGCGGCTTCCTCGTTCATGACGCTGACTATTTTCGCTGTTGCGTCCGACGCCTTACCGAGTTGCTCGCCGGCCAACAGAAGGGCCTTCGCGTCGCCCTCCATCTGCATCGTGTTGCCAAAGGCGCCCAGCGGCGCGTTGTTCGGCAGCGTGGCGCCGGGAATACCGCGCGCCTCGACGGAGGGTTGGTTGTAGGAACGGATGATTGTCATCGGGCGGCTCCCTGCGATAGCGTCCCGCCCGTGGGGCGAAGAGGACGACGATGCGATATGTGATGTTGGTGGTAACGCTTGTCTTGACTTTGTCCGCGTGTATTGACGTTCAAAGTGACTTGGATCGCGCCTTCGCGAAGCACGAAGGTCGCCCGATCGACGACATTATTGCGATATGGGGGCCGCCCATCCGGCAAGGCACGAGCAATGGTAATACCGTTTACATGTTCTCCGGAACCGCTCAATCCACGGTTGGCTCGACGAGTACGACGACCGGATTTATCGGCAACACGCCAGTCACGACCACCACCGAGACCTCGACGCCAACTACAATCTCCTGCCGCGTTCTGGTCTTCACCGACGAGAATCGCCGCGTAATCGACTTCAGGAATGAGGGCGCTGCAGGCGCCTGCTCCCGGATGTATCGGCGACTGTAAGTTCATCATTGCCACGTTGCGGCATCGGTTCCACCGATGCGGCCGATCTTAGGCTTAGCCTGATTGATGACAGCCTGGTCGGCTTGGAAACGAGACCACTTCTCTCCCAACGTTGAAACGCCAGCCAACAGCGACGCCCCAGCACCCAGATAGTTCGGCGTGTAGACCGAGTTCGCCGCGCGCGTGCTCTCCAGGATTGACTGGTTTCCGTAACCCAAGCCCTGCACTTGATAGCCATAGGCCTCGCGCGCGGCGTTGTTGCGGATGGTGATGGCGTCCAGCTCGCCGGCGGCGGCGGTGTCGCCCAGTATGTCGAGGGGACTGCCTTCGAGGTCGGTGCCCTGTGCGGCGAAGGCCGCGGTCTGCTGGCCGATCTGCTGGCGCGTCTGGTAGCGGCGGCTCTGTTCCGCCACCTGCCCGCGCTGCAGGGCGTCGGCCGCCTGACGATTGGCCAGTTCCTGGTTCTGCCGCGCGACCTGCGCCTGATAGATGGCCTGGGCCTGTCCGGCACTGGCGGCCTGCTGCTGTGCCTGCTGCTGGCCCATCTGGCCCATGAAGGACAGGCCGGTGCCGACGGCCCCCATGCCCAGGGAGATCG